CATAGGGCCAAAATAAGGGATCTCAATTTAAAGGTCTGTGACTAACACCAGATAACGTTTTAATTGTCAGACAGACATTAACATTCAGCTCATGCTAATAAAAAAATATAAAAATATGAAAATTACATTACCAAATATAGATTTTTTAAAAATAAAAATGCAAGCTGCAATAGCTTACTACAGGAGGCTGAAAAAAATTGACTTTGTGGAAATCATCACCATCTTATATTGCACAAAGGAGAGCCCTATATCCTAGAACCCAAATGTTGCAGTGTGGAGCTCCTGGAGCCACTCAGCAGGCATCCTGTTTGCTTGCCATAAAACCCAAATAGTAAATCTTGTCTATTTGACTTCTGCATATGAGAAAATGCCTGAATTTGAAATGTCAGTTTGTACAGCTCTAATTGTAACTCTAAAAATTCAGCTTCAATCATAATGATATGCCTCTAGTTCATGTTTCTGTTTGTGTTTTGTCATGTCTACAACTGATTGTAGCCTTGACACCAATTACTATTTTCTTGTGCAGATTTGTCCAGAATTAAAAAAAAAAAACAGAAACAGCACAAAAAACAAACCAAACAACCAAACAAAACAAAACAAAAAACACCAAAAAACACCCAAACCTCACCCCCCCCAAAACAAAACAAAACAAAACAAAACAAAAACCCAAATCCAAAAAAAAAAAAAAATCCACCTAGAGAAGAAAGGAACAATGAACAATTTTTATGAACAGACAAAAAACTTCCCTCAAACAAATCCAAGTTATGGCTTGTTAGACAATGGTATATTTCCCATGATCTGTCCTTCCTGGTTATGCTCTTGCTCATCTCTGTTGCTGATTTTGGGATACCCAGCTCTGTAAGTTTCCATTTAATGCACTAGAGAGGGAAAAGCTGCCACTATTGTCCCTGTGGCAGTATTGTCCCTGTCCACAAGGCAGCCTTTAAACATTAGTGAGACTGCTGTCCCACAGCACTCTATGAAAGAACTGAAAACACTTCCAGGAGCCCCTCTAGAAACCAAGAAAAAGTGTCTGAGCAATCTGTGGCAACAAGATTAGAAAACATTATTTGGAGCTAGAGAAATATGATAAAGGAAATCAAAACTTAAATTTAAAAGGGGGGAAAAAAGCAATAAAAACCCCAGCTACCCAATAGGAAGCATGGAGAGCTACTCTAATAATCAGGAAGTTCCTAATCCAGATGAAACTTGGTCTGAACTGTGGTGGGTAATGCTACTGCCAGATGCTATTCCTAATGTGATTTATTTCAAGAGAATATTGGACTTGGCCAAGAAGCTGCCTTTGTTTGACTTGTTTTTTCTGCAAGTCTTGAGTGATACAGAGGGCACGGGGATGGGGTTCACTCTTTTCCTAGAACTTATTTTTGCAATTTGTTAGACACACTGCTGGGAAATTAAGATACATTTGAAACCATCTGACATTATATTTTGGCATTGCAATAACTGAAATTCTTACATTCAGGAAAAGGATCATCCATTTATTTAGACAGGCTGACTTTGATGCTGATTACAGCAGTCCTCCTGTTGTTGGTTCTTAATGTAGTATCTGCTCCTACAAGTAAGGAATAGCCATTAAACCAGTCTTTAAGTAGATTATTCCCTTCTCCACAGAGAAGTGTCTCTGAGGCAGGGACTGAAAGCACTGTGTTGAGCTGAAATGGTGTCCTGGACTATAGACAGGGATTGGGAAGTCTTCAGAGCAAGTGGGTCAGGGCCAGCAGTTCTGGTTGTGCCTTCAAGGCCCTGACAAACCCTTTTTCCTTCAAAAGCAAGCAAATGATGGATCACACGAGTTCACTGGTACAGTCAAGATGTTCATCAGTGGAGAAGACAATAATTTCTAGCAAGATTTAGACTGTGAGTTTGAATGATCCTCCTGGTCATAGCAAGACTTAGCGATACTTTTCCACATGTCCGCTATGTTTATCCATCCGTGCCTTCCTCTAAACAAGCGTGTTTCCTCCTTCCTCTCACTGCTGGGAGGTATTTGGGAAGCAATGCCTCACAGAGACCTAGCAGGCTCATCTATGCAAATCGAGTGTTAAGTCAGAAGGAAGAGGCCCAGGATGTTTACAAGGATGGTCTTGATGGATGAAAGGTATTCTGAAGAACATTGCTGTAATGACGGGGAAAAATCTTGCAGCAGAAATATTGGTAGAAAAGAGATTTCTCTTTCTCTCAAGCTGTTTCTTTCTTCCTCTTATCTGACCAGCTGAGACTAAACTCCTCTAAAGGAAATCTTTCCCACATGATCTGAAAGACACTGTTCATCAGCATGGCCAGACATTTTGTACTTTATTTCTGGTAACTAGAGAACCAACAAAGACTTCCCTTCAACATCCAAGCATGCTGGTAAGAGCAGAAGATGAGTGTTCATAAACATAAACGCCCCAAGCCTAGAAAAGGAGTGAGCCAAGAACTGCTAGCATTTGTTTATGAAGGAAAATTGAATTACAAAAATGCAGTGGTGTAAACATGAGTCTAGGCAGGATAATGTACCTCTATGTGCAAAAATAATTTCCCAGAACAAAATTGCTTTTACTGTGGACTTACTAGCAAAATAAGGAGCTTTTTATTCCAGAAAACCTTCTCCTTCTTGAAAGCAGATCAGTTGCTTATTCTAGAGCAGTGTCTACACAGCATGCTTACCACTGTAGCCAATGAACTGTAGGAACTCACCTCTGAACTGCACTTTCTGTCAGTTTTCCCAATAAGCAAGACTTATTAGTGTCTGGGGGTGTGTATATGAGAGGGAGATAAGACAGTCTTCCTTTATCAAAAATGAAAAATCAAGTAATAAAATCTCAAGAAAACACAGTCTGCTTCAAAACCACTCGCTGCATCACGAAAAGCAGTAGAGGAGAACTGGAGCTCCTCACAACCTATTATTTAATGAGAATCTTAAGGAATGAACTCCAGTTTCCTACGGCTCTGCCTCATGGGTTTTACTGAACTACAGTGGCTAAGAAGACAAATGCTTCAGTTAACTTTTCTCACTGATGTCACAGGTACATGCAGATTTTGAGGTATGTAACAGCACATGAATTCCTAACATCACCTTTGCCATGCTCTAAGCACAAAGAGGTATGCAGTTAGCTTTTTTCTCTACCTGTATTCTTTTTCTTAAACTTGTTGTAGTTTAATTGTCTTTTGAGAGTTTTGCTCAGCTGAAACTGATTGGTGCATTCAAAAATTAGTGATGAGACACATGGACATGTGTACACAGAAGAAGTGGAACATATGAAATACATAGATACCAACATTTCAGCTGGGGAGTAGTTGAGGAGAGGAATGGGTTGCTATGGAGCTTTGTTTATCACATGTAAGATATGGAAGAGCATTTCCCTGACTGACCATAAGGGTAAGACTAGACTAAGCAGCACAGGCATGGATGCCTATGCAACGGATGTCCAGGTTTCAGACAAAGTACATTCTGCTGGAGCTTTTCATAGAAAACTAGCCTTGAACTCATCACTGACTAGGACTACTGCTGTGGTTGCCATTCAGAAAACTTCTGCAGGTAGGCTGGGAGAAGGTGAGCAAACTTTTTTAAAAATCCTACATTTATATATCACCAAGACAGTGGGCAAGGAACTACATAAAATGGGTGAAAATTAGCACAGTAAATGAGCATTCAAAGTTTAACCTAGTTTTTGGTGGGTTGTAATTAAAATCATGTTGGCAAATACTGCCCAATCTCTTTCTTGGATAGCTTTCAAAAGAATTAGGAGGTCTTTGAATTACAAAAAAAAAAAAAAAAAAAAAAAAAAAAGGAAGTTGATAGAAGTTTTATTGGAAAGCCTTCATCCCAGCAGCAAAATGTGCAACAGTTAAGGCTGAATCTCAGAGCTATAGGATGAGATGAAGCCTGAGCAGCACAATGCAGAGGGCAAAGCTACAGATGAAGTGTTACGAAACCTGAGAAAGAGAGAAGAGCTTGAAAAGCAAAAAAGCTTTCTAATCTGATACCTGAAATATAGTGGGGCATTAATGAATGAGGGAAAGAGACTTCCTCCCATTATCAGGAATGATGAAGGAAAAACAATAAAGAGCTATAAAATACTATGGGAAGCAGCAGGACTAGCTGAAGTCTTGATTGCAGCCTGCTACCTTGCCAAGACTTGATGACAAAAATGCATTAGTCCCTGCCCCATGAAGGGTCCTGGCTCTTCAGGCACTGTTATTCTGCTGCGGGTTCAGCCCTCGGCAGGCCCTCAACATGTCAATAGGAAGGCTGGGCCGGCCAGGTCATCGGCCAGGTACAGTCCTGTGCTGTGTGTGTGTGCCCGTGCCCTGCCCTGGCTTTTCCCGGGAAAGGAAAACTGGGAAGGGATGCTGTGGATGCACTCTTGAGCAGGAGAAGGTGGCGTATGTCTGTGTGTATGGGAGGGGACAGTACATGGAAGTGCGTGTGTACGTGTGGTGTGTTTGTGTTTATGTGCAATCCTGCACATTCCCTATCTGTGAGGACGGTGTGTGGGGATCTCTGAGAGGTGCGCGCGTCCCATACGTAGGGAGGTTAACGTGGATTCACCCGTGTGTGAGAGGGGAATCCCCTGCCCGGAGTGTGCGCTTAGCGTGGGCTGTGTGTGTGCACATGCCCTGCCCGGGGGTCAGTGTGGGCTGTGTGTGTACCTGCATGTGCAGGAGTGCGTGTGTCTGTGTGCGTGTGAGGGAGTGAGTGTGAGGGAGTGCGCGCACCCCGCCCGTGGCACTGGCGCGGTGTCTGTGCGCGGCTGCTGTCTGTGTGCGCGGGCGGGCATCCCCAGCCCGGGCAGGGTGGGGGGATGTCCCCCTTTGTCTGGGGGCAGGGGGAGGGGGCAGTGCCGGGTGCGCGCACCCCGGCGCGGAGCGTGCGCGGGCGCGGCGCTCGGGAGCGCGGCCGGGCGGGGGGCGGGGGGCGCCCCGCGTGCCCCGGCCGGGAGCGGCCGTGCCCCCCCGCCCCGCCGCCGCCGCCGCCGCCGCCGCCGCCGCGCACAGCCGCAGACACGGGCGGCCGCGCCGGCAGCCGGCGGCTCGCATGCAGCCGGGGATTACAGCGGGGCGAGGGCAGCGAGGGCTCGACTCTTATCCCCCCTCACCCCCCTCCATCCTCCGCCCGACACCCCAGCCGCTCGCCGGGCGGCTGCTCCGCCGGCTTTTCATCTCCGGGGGTAGGAGGGAGATGCCTTGGCCGCGGTTTTTCCACCCCCAGCCCTCTCCGTGCAGGGAGAGGCGGTGATGTGGAGCCGGGAATGTAGAGGAAAACCCTCCCCGGGAAGGAGCGACCAAAACAAATCCCTCGCCGTGGCTTTGGCGGCCGCGCAGTGCCCGGGGAAGCCCGAGCAGCCCCTGCCAGCGCTGGGGAATCCCTCCTGTAGCCCCCGGCGGCGCCCCGGGCGCCCGCGGAGCAAGGTAAGCAGGAGGGCATCCCTCTTCCGCCGAGAGCTGCTTTTCGCTTTTATTTGTATTTATTTGAGATCCCGAGTCATCCCCGGCTCCCGCCCTGATGGGACTGTCAGGGGAGGCGAGAACTGCCTGCTGCCGGGAGCGCCCGGTCCGGCCGGGAGCGCGGCGCTCCCGCGGGGAGCCCCGGGGTGCCCCGGGCGCTGGGGAGCGCCGCTGGGGAGGGGGCAAGATCGGCGGGGCGGGACGGACGCCGGGTGTTCTCCCCGGCTGCCTGGATCGGGCTGAGGCAGGATAATAGAACCCTCACCCTGGAAGCGCTCTGGAAACCGTGGCTCGTATTTTTGTTCCTTCAGAGCTGCTAAAGGGAGGGAGGGAATGACATTTCGTAGTATTCTGCCTCCTGCCGTGGGTGAGCTCCACCGATAAAGGCTCGTCATTTGTTTCCAATGCTCTAATAGTGCTTGTGGGAACCTGATGATACAAAACCTCAGCCTTCTCGGTAACTGTCGTTGGAATTACCCCATCTACCCGGGGACTGAAAAATCTCCTCTACAGAAAAAATACATGTAGCATTGTGGTAGTCTAAAGTACACTGTCATATATGCTTTCTGTAGGTAGGTAGCATGCTGGCCCCTGTATTAAAAAACCTAAATGCCATTAGAAATAGGCATGTTCATTGGCTACATGGCTTCTACAAACCATTCAGTGTGTTTCTTCTATCAGAATTTCACTGCCTGGGTGAAGGCAGACCTTTGTTTATACCCTATGTATGTACTGTCCATATTTATAGTAGGGTTTGGACTTTATTCAATTCAAGTTACATAATGATTAAGATACAATAGGCAGTTATATATGCAGCTTCTTGGGCATTTTAATCCAGTGCAGAAAAGACTGACTCTAGCAACACTGCCACAGTTGTCACTTTTTCAATGTTTGTGTAAGACAGGAAGTGTCCATAGCATCAGGTGGAGACAACGTTCCTTAGCAAATACATAATCATCAAGACCTTGCTATTAAAAGGACACCTAAGTGAAGGATTTCAGTGACCCTGTCCTGTAGCTCTGAGGAGGTGCCAGGATTGGTTTAGAAGAAATGCAGCGAGACTAGGCAGCCTTGGGAGGGGGAAAAGCCTGTCTGGTAACATTTTCCATTAAAAACACCTAGAGTTCAAGTTTGCTCAGCTGGCGAGTCTGTCCAACTTAGAGCAGAGCTAGCACCAAGCCTTAGAGGCTGGGCAAGGTCTGCAAAACGGAACATTCCACCAAGCCTGGGACACGATCCTCCAGGGAGTTTTAGTAGAAACTTTCAGGGGAGCAGGGTCAATGAGTACATGCCACTTATGGGATTTGTTTGTTCTCTGATCAACAAGATGTGCTAGCAAAACTCTGGAGTCTTTCCCAGAGAGATAAGATGCAGTACAGAAAAAAAAATAGTTTGTTTCTGGTTCTTAGCACCTCTGTCTATTCTGTTCAAACAACTGATAAATCTGATACAACTGATAAACTCTCACTTTGTTCAGCATTAGTGGAACTTGCAGCTGGCTTGTTGTAATTTTTTTTTCCAATGAGTGCTTTTGCAGGCAGCTCTTACCACAGCATTCAAATTTCTCTTGCCTCCTTTCTCAGCTGGATGCTGTTGCTGGAGCTCAGCAGGTTGCCCTCGCTCAGATGTATGCAGAGAGTAAAACATCTTCAGCTTGAGATGAGGGAGAGGTGCTGTTCAGAGCAGCATGCTTCAGCCTGGGCATTTCCATTAGCTTCAGCATTTTGAAATGTCCCATTGCCTTAACAATGCCATATCACCTATATTTATTCATACTCAGCTTTTTTTTTTTTTTTTTTTCTAAGTGAAAGTTAATTGGCAAATTCTGGCTTGCCATTCAAAGCAAGGCGAGAGGTCAGGATTTGCAATAGCTTTCTTGCCAACAGTTGGGATTTTGCCAAAGTTTGCTACTGTCACTTTTAGAAAAACATCTTGATCTTGTGTGACTTCCTTGAGCTTCCTGTAACCACATGTGCAGGTAAAATATATTGCATGGTGCTGCTGTATTTAAAGCTACCTGCTGAAGGATATTTTTTCAGTCAGTGTCTTACTCCGTCTGTCATGATATAAACAGCACATTGGGGAAGGTCTATCTGGTCTCAGCTCAGAGGAGGAATGCAAGCTGAGATATCTGGTGAAGGGGGCAGTGACTGGAAGTATGTCAGTGCAGTGGGATTCCACTGCAGACCCTCCTGAAGGTGTCTGTTCTACCAGAGTACTGGTACTCTGCTGTTCCCCACAGGAAGAGATGGAAGGCAGAGAGGGAAGCACTTAAAGTTGTACACCACTTCAGCTTCATCAGAGTAGATATACATGCAGTGTAAAAATGAATCTTTGGATGTTTTCAGGGGTCAATTCTATTAATTCATCATGTTATTGCATAATGTCTTCTGACCCAGCAATGCTCACAGCTCTTGGAATTAAGCAATTATTGCCTCTGAAAGGACTATACATGTTTGTCTAATATTGCTACAGTAAGTTTTTATCATCTTTAGGAATTAGAGTTTTTTACCTAAGAAGTGTCTGAACATTATAAACATAAATATAAAATAAATATAAAATAAATATTAATATTAACAATAATATAAAATAAACATCATAATGGATGCATGATAAAAAACAGGCTGTAGTTTACTTTGTTCTGTTTCTAGTCATAGGATATGAACACCCCAAGAGAAAATGCTTTTGAATTCCCATCTGTAGTGGGCATCTTTTTGTTGTGATTATTGCTGGAGTAGTGGAACTGGGTATTTGATTTCTTGGATTTTATAATTAATCATTGGAATATGTTATTTTAACTCACATTTTAGTAGGGAGAAATGTGTGTTTACTTTGTAACAAGAATATTAACTTCAAGCCAAAATAAATTTGCCAATATTAAATTGCAGAGATTTTTTAAGATGTGCAACAGTGTTATATGGGATAATGTGCAAATAAATTGATTAGGACACTACAGAGTAGATGTTATCCTAAATGTAGATTTTTGTGCAATCTCGTAGCTTCATATGTTTTTTAATCTATAATTCTCTGGCTATATGGAAAAGATATGGAAAGAATTTCATTATTTTTAATTTTTTCTTCACCAATATACAATCAGAGGTATCATATTGCATGCTATTACATATACATTGCTCAGTTATGCTCAAATAAAGTCTCAGTAAAATACATATATATGGCTAAATTTAAAAAAAAAAAAATCAGAGAAGCTTAACAACTCAAGTGTTTATTGAACAGAACTTGGAGGTTTCTTATCTTGGTTACCGTACAAAGTTAGTCCCAGTATAGCTTCCCAGGCCACTACATATCATAAGAGCCCCAGGAGGGTATGCATCAGTAAAGATACTTAAAATCTATTGGGCTTAAACCTGCCTGTATTCTTCATAAAAATCTGGAAGGACAGCAAAGGCTATTTTGCCTTTTTTCCGTCCCAGTGCTTGCTACAGCATCTGCAGAAATTTCAGCGCAAGTCACACATTGGCATCTTCCTAAGTTTTCACTTGTTTGCTGTGCAATACATTCTTTCTTCCAAGTCTGGAAGGATGGAGTTTCTTAAAGGATGAATTTCTTAAAGGATGAGTGTCTTAAACTACTTTTTTTTCATCACCATGAAAGTATGATGATGGTAACCATATAATCAGAAAACAAAGAGAATTATTTTGAACACACTTTGTTGTGGATTATGGTATGAATTATAGGGAAACAATAAAAGGAAAGTCTCAGGCCACTGAAATCAGTGAGGTTTTTAATTTTTTTGTTCCTAATGCAGGAAATCTATATTTAGCGATAATGATAGATCAGCTGTGACTTAGGTGTCTGGATTCTGTACCTCCCTATTCCTTCTCTGGATAACTATAAAGAGTTGTCAGTAGCATCACTGCTGGCACCAGTAAGAGAGTCAGAACAACAATCTATTAGCTAATAAATAATATATGTAATGCTGGCATAATGCAGCTCTGAGCATTTAGGAGTAGGCTGTGATAAACAGCAGCAGAACTCTTTACAAGGAAGAATGGCAATTGACCAATTTACCCCTCACAGTACCATGCCAGAGGAGCACAGTGCACTGTAAAATTGTGTGAGGGCATTTACAGTCTGAGCCAAGACAGAGGGGCTGAACAGCTCTCTTTCCACAGCACTGGCATGTGATGCATAAGCCCCTAGGTTTTTTGTTACCTCTAAGTAAGTGCTTCTTACTAGGAAATCAGACTTGCTATTGAAAGTCTTTGCTCTTCTTGCTGCCATCATACTCAGGTACTAGCTTGTTAGGAAATAAATGTCAGCCCTGTAGGTAAAACCACATTATGAGGAAATGAATGCAAAGCTGTGCTGATAATTAACTGAACAAAGCTCTTGAATGTAATCTTCTTTGATGACACTGGAGATGAGCTTCTCCCCTGACTGCCTAACAAGTTAAGAAATAGAAGTCAGTTATGGCAGTACAGTCCCCAAATACAGAATAAATTTACCTCAGAGCATTAATAAGGCAGTTCGTAAAGTAATATTTCACAGTACATAATCAATAGTTAACTTTTAGAAAATTAGCTGTATTTTCAAAATATACATAGAGATAAAAATTACAATCAAATGCAAGAACTCAAAATTAAGTCATAATGCTTCTTTTATGGATTTTTCAGTTGTTTCATTTGCCCTCTTAAGGTATGAGGATTTTGTTACCTACAAGGTTGTTGACCTCATCTCAGGTGAATGTACTCTCAAATGGCAGAGTAATCCTGCTATAATTTATAAGCCATTCATTCACTGTAAACTTGCATATACCAGAGACATTTTGAGACAGTTTGAGCAGAAAGTGCTGGCAAACTGCAGAAGCTAGAAGAATCCCACTAATGTATTTAAGCAGACTCAAAACATTGAATAGGCTTAATTAGCCTTGAAATCACACAACTGTGAATGACAGTATTGAACGTGCTTTTCTAGTGGTTGGTGAGATTAACAGCACAAAGTTG